AGTAATTTGTTCCCGCAGGAAGTGACTGCAAAGCGCGCTGGAAGTTGTTACGAGAAAGATTCTGTAAGCAAATGAAGAGAGCTGATGGTTATTTTTCGTCTGACACAGACCCGTTTAATGCGCATGAATGGGAATACTATAAGGAAATGCTATTTTTAAAGGAATCTATTGTACCGCGACGGTAAGCTTTTGCCTCTTTGCAACTAAAGTTGTGTGTAAATACTTGTACTACTATTATACATATTATACAATTTGCTTGTAGTTCAAGACTTGGTAAGTGCGTACGCTCCAGCTCAGAAGAGCCTGCAATGAATGAAGTATTTATAAACGTAAATGCCATAGCCGAAGAGGACTCCTGCTCGTCACATTCAAGTTATTCAAATTCTTGTGAAACTCCGATAATAACGATAATTGAACGTGAAACGGACGCAAATTTAGGCGATCACGATAAACCAGAAAAACTGCAAAACAAAAGCGTTAGTACTAAAAGCAGTACACCGGTTAGTGGTGACACAGACAATACAATCGAAGAATTATTTGTAAAGAATATAGCGAATTTAATACGAGATCTGCCGATAGAAGTGAAGGATCGTTTCCAGGCTGGCATGTATGCGGAAGTGTTCCGTTTACGTGCACAATATCGCAACTTCTAGAATAAGCTATCTTAAACGCACCTACTTCTTTAAAGGCTGCCTCTCATTTTCAACTCACATTTGCATTCTTAATTAATTTTGTACCTTTGAATTTAGATACTGTTACTTTTGAAGTTTTGTTATGCGAAAACATTTTTAATTTAACTGAATCATGAAACGAATATTGAATTAATTTGTCTTGGTTGTTCCCAATCATGATTCAATAACATATTGATTGAATCATGGTTTCCTGTAACCAAAAACCCACAAGTGTATTTTCATTTACGATGAGTCTTACATTTTGTAGTACATTTGAATTATTATATTTGAAAGTATATTTACCTTATGTAGATCCTCGTGAAGTCCGTGCTGGTATGAATCCAATGGTTATACTAGCTCCAGTTTCTTGCAATTAGATGCCGACATTCACTCGAGGCACAGGCCCTCGTTTAGTCCAGATAATACATATGTTTCAAATAGAATTTTTGAAGTACTGTTAGCAACTCCACCGTTAAGTTTAATAATAAATATATATTTTGAGTCAGTAATAATTATTAATTTTATTAACAAGGAACGACGAGGAACAAATACATGTTGAATTCGGTATTGCACTCTGTACTCGATAGTTTGTTGAAAATTTAACAGTTTTGAGGCACATGTAAACAAAAACCAGGAAGCAGTCAGCTGTGAACGGAAAAGTGCTGTTATTTTTCATGAATCATGGTTATCGATAAGGTGATTAGAAAAACACAATTCGACGAGAAATTATATCATCAATATATAATTAAACAACGACTTACAACTATCACCTGTAAGTAACTAAACTGTTTAAAAACAAAAGAAAACCATTACAGATTAAACCATTACACAATTTCCGTTGGTTAAAACTATTTTGAATAATGACTAAGGGGACTTTTTTGTGCACAGCGCTTCTTATTCCGGCCTTTCCTGTAAGATATACAGCATTGTTACTGTAGCCAAGAGCAGGGATGCCACTTCCGTAAATTGTTACCAAACATGGTTGAAAAAATTTGGGTTGGTAAATATGTAAATTTTTTCTCATTTATTATTTTTTTTTGAAAAACAAATAAACCTTTTCGTTTCTGTTTTAGTTTTCGCAGATATCTTTATACTATAAATCTCTTTCCAAAAGTTTAGTCTACTTTCTTATTAAATTTTGAACGCTTTAATAAATCCTTTTTATATACATACATACAAATGTATATCGATGGAAGGCGAACATAACGTCCTCCATTCAAAACTCATTTTACTGGAATTTCTGGGAACTTTTGATTGCCTAAATATTTTAAATCATTTTTTAAATAAAAAGAAAAGTGTAACTAAGCACTATGATTGTTTGCAAATTAAATCAATAATTGGCAATAATTAAATGGAGAAAAAACCAAAAAGACTGAATGCAAACAATAAAAAAAATAAAATAAAATCAAATATTATAGGCTATACAACTTCATACCATAAATTATTCTAAAAATTCAGAGTAAAAAGTTCGAAATATATAAATTTTTTTGAATATTTCTATATGCAGTATTTAGCTTGAATCCTTGATTTTTATAGGTTTGGTTAAAGCGTAAAAATATTCATTTTATTTTCAAATTATTTGGTCTCGAAAATGGCGTATATTTTTAATTTCTTTTCACAAAAATTCTAGATTGTTGAAATCTATTTGCTTGTGAAACCTTTTTCCATATCAAACAAGCAATTGAATAGCAGCTTTTGACACGTTCCAATGTTTGGCAACCCTGGCCAAGAGCAAAAATAACAAAAATACGAAAAAATTTACCAAAAAAAAAAAGTCTTTTCTCCCAACAAGATATAAAGAAGTTGTGAACAATAACGCAGTTGTGAGAGCACCGGCTTCCCACTTTAATTAATTATGACCAAAGCAAGTTATAGAGGAATCAACGAAATGGTGCAAAAGCAAATGGAAATAAATACATCTCACAATAAGCTAGATTCATGCCATGTTCGTCGGAGCTTTGCGGCGGCGCGGGCCGACCGAGCCAACCTTCAATCTTGTGGTAGCTACGGATTCAGTCGAAAGCCTACTGTTGACGAGTTTGTTGGTGCACTTGAAAAGTAGTCAATTACCTTCATCCGATACAAAATTCAAGTCACTTTTATTGATTTAACAATATTCGCGTTTGGGTTTTTGTGTTACAGCAGTCGGGAGTTTGTGCCTTAATGATTTTCTTCAATCGCACCATGGAATACCTGCAAGAGCTTTACACAAAAGTCTCCGGATATGTTTACGGCGATAATAGCTGTGCAAATACGTAAATATACATATTTTATAATACTAGTGTTTCGTAATTAATGTGAAATGATGCTGTTTCCGCTTGTTTGACGTTTTCTAACATCCCCCGCACAACTAGACCACGCAAAGTTGTTGCTTTTGGTAACGTGCTGCTAGATCACACCGCGCAGCTTCAGAATGACGAAACAGATTTATTGGAACGCTTTCAAATACCGGCAGAATCGAAAGGCGAGTTAGATGCAGAAACTTTATCCAAGTTAGCAGCTGAGGCTGCCGAGCGGTAAGTGTGCAATTAGCCAATTGATCAGCTGGTTGTTAATATTGACATATTTTATATTTGCAATTGTTTATATTTTTGAATGTATTGGTGCATAGTGTACAATGTGAAGTGAATCCCGGCGGTTCCGCTTTGAACACAGTGCGTATACTCAAACAACTCGGCACAGATGCGCTTTTCATTGGTGCTGTTGGTGAAGATAAAGCGGCAGAGAAGTTGAAAGAGATTTTACAGGAACGTGAAGTTGAAGTAAGGTGAGAATGTAGGAATTCCCAGTTGGCATACAAAAAGTGTGCGTGACTAAGGGCTATTATGTACTTTCAAATGTATTTACTTACTACATACATTTGTTCAAACTATATTCACAAATATGTATGTGCATCTTAAATATACAGAAGCGAAAATATCAAAAAAAATTGGATTTATGTTTCGAACGTGTAGGCATGTGAACAAATATTATAAAATAATGGTATATAGGGCCATTATAGAACCCCATTTCATATATTGCCCTACTATTTTATTCACGTTAGCTGACTCAAACATTTCAAAACTGCAGGTGAAACAAAATAAAGCAATGCGGTTTATCCTTAAAAAACGCTATGATACCCCAATACATGAAATGCTTGAAAGCCTAAATTGGCTAAGTGTAAAACAACTCATTGTTTACTATACGTTAAAATTCATACACAACATAAAAATAGGAAACCTGCCGAAATATCTGAACGATCGAATGATTTATAACAACCAGGTACATGATTACCAGACAAGAAACAGGAACAACTATCGTTTGCCAGCTGTACGATCGGAATTCGACAAGAAAAATATATACTACGAGGGATTGAAAGAATACAACGAGTTACCATGTGAAATAAAACAATGCCAAAATATTAATAAATTTAAGAAATTATTGTATAATTACTGCAAAACACTACCTATTAGATAATGATCTCATAATGATAATGATCTCATAGAGGAATAGAAGAATGTAAGCTAGGTCAATAAGACCGTAAAAAA